AATCAAATTTAACTTCCACTTTAGTTCTGTTTTTCCCTTTTAACCAAATACTCTCAAGCATAGATGCAATCTCAAACATGAAGAAAGATATATTCCTGCACTGAAACATTTATGATACAAGCCTGAGATGACATGAAAATGCAAGTATTAAATGATGAAAAAGTGCAAGAAAGATAGGAAATACATAACTATTTATTTATTCTATCCTTTAATGCCTTGATATTTCATTCATTTCGATTTTAAGGGAATATTTAACAGAAAGAAATAGTGAAAGTGGATAGACTCTTTCTCAAATTTACACGTTTTCAGGTTATATCCTTTATTTACTTTTTCACTTGAATTAAATAGTTTCTTCTATATACCAGCCATCTTGTATATGCAAAAAGTGTATCCATCATTGAAGATATTAGCAAATAAAACTTACTTGAACCCCAGAAATTCACTATTTCCTGACCTGTTCTCCATGGATTTGTGGAACAGTTTTAACTATAAACCTAAAAATAACAGCCTTGAACCTCTTTTTTAAAAAAAAGATTACCCTCTTGCCTTCAGTTTTTATTCTCCTACACTAAATGTGATAGTTTTCTCAAATTTATTATAACTGAGATTGTCCAAGTTGTTTTGGTTTTATTGTGCTGTTTTACTCTGGACTGTAGAAAGGAATAGCCAAGTGGGGGAAGTGTGATGCCACTGTGAAAACTACTGTTGCCTTCTATCCCAGAACCTCACGCTGGCCTGGGACTGGCTCATCACTATACTCTGCAGGAGTAAATTGTAACTGTCAGTAAACAGAAACTTACTGCATTTGTACAACTAGTAATGGCATATTCTCATTTTTAATGTAGTGTGTTAGGACAGTGAAGCTATACAAAATTGTTTGTTTCCCCAGTTGTTTGGCTCACTTTAACATTTTCCAGTGCTTTTATTAAACAATCAGTAAGAGAATGTGCTCCTGACTGGTGACAATTCAGGACATTTCAAGCATGACTCACTCTTCAATATCAAGTTTTGATTATTGTCACAGCTACTTAGTTCATCACCGCCGTCAGTGCCTTAGTAATCATCACTTTCCAGGCCTGGGGGTAGAATCAGACTTTCAGAAGAGGCCCTGGGCTGTCATCCCCTGGTACTAACCAGAATTATCTCAGTAAATTGAAATTAACTTCCTACAATGCAGCTCTATTTTATCCCAAAGCAATGACAGCAGTGCCTGTTTGTAATCAAAAGAATTACTTAGAGCCAAGTCTGATTTATTTGGAAATTAAACCATTGAGACAAAGTACAAAACTTATGTATTAAGATGACTTCACTTGAGGCTTAACTTTCCCTGAATTTGGTTCACTAAGACACAGGCAGGAAAAAATAATTAATACATTTCTTGGTCCCTTGTAAGTTGTTACAATGTATCTCAGTAAGATATTATATCTTATGAAGATGTTGTACAATGTTGAAGGTAAAACGCTGTAGCAAATTATCCTTGGGATGTGTAGTATATCTCCATGTCATCACAACTAATTTCTATCTGGAATGCAAACACTGTGGTTCATTGAGTGGCTTAGATTCAAACTTAGTGAAATGTGCTGTTTAAGTTGTTAAATTATGAAAAGAAAAGAGTTGTGGAAATTATAAAATTAAAAAGGCAGAGGGTTGGGGGGGAAGAGGAGTCCAGCTAGCTGCCTCAAGGGGCCAAAATATACAGACATGTACATGTAGGATTGCTATACATGTACCTGCCAGAATATCTCATGTCTTTTTGTGATCACATGAAATTCAAAGAGCTATTAGGGGTACAGCTATATAAACCAAATTAGACAAACAAACTCCTGGGTTTTTTTCACTATAGCTGCTTGCCGTATGTAGCATATAGTCTTCCATTGCATGACCTTCAATTAAACATGCAGTCCTCTATCCCTTAGAGTCCAATTCTGACACATACTCCCGTTGCCTTCCTGAAACCTGACATTTGCCTGCAAGGCATTCAACGCAGAGTTCAGAACCAAACAGCTGAGTTTCCAAACTTTCCGCAGAGAACTTTCTATAACCTTGACTGCCTGTTTTCTTAAAAAATGGAAGGGGTTTGCTCATCAAGTAAATTCATCAAGTTTACACAGCGTTCCTTTTGAACTGAGTTTGCATTTCCTTGAAAAAAGAAAAATGTTAACTGTAAGAAAAGGATCTGTAATCTCAGCACTTCTATAACTCCTGATTAATCTCAAAAACATTCACCCATGCTTTTTTTAAAAACACAAAACTTAAAATTGAGATTCTTTTTCTTTTATCATAAGAGATTTTACCATTATAAGTCACTGAATGTCATCAGATAGGCCTTTTTGTTGTCCTGGCAAAAAGCTAACTCTAAATTGTGGTAAATGAGGTAAGAAAGTACTCGTAACTGTAGCTGGGGATCTTCTTGCCCTTTGGAAGAGGAAAATCAGGGCAGTTTTAGAGAAGGAAGATTACCTTCTGCTAATTCCAGATTTGGACATTGAGGCCATCAGCTTTACTTAAAGCTGATACTCTGCGTATGCTAAGAATATCTGTCTTCTCTTGAAGATTAATATTGACACTTTGATTGTTACCTATCTATGCTTCCAAGATTTTAAGCCCTCAAATTAACAATGAGCAACAAGATAAACTTGGGAAGAAATTTAAGGCAATATAAATTCCATGCACTGACCACCAAAACAGCTGAGTCTGTTTTAACTAATGTATCATTGGTGATTAAGCAGAACCTTAGTTGAAGTTGCTGAGGCATGCTGTTTAATTGCCAAAGGCATATGGTAAAGTATGACTAAAACTAGTTTGCTCCACTGCTGATGAGTTTAGAAATTCAGGAATAACTGTTGAAAAAACAGTGAATACAAATGCTTAATAATGAACAAGGGTATGATGTCACTTCAATTACTGCAATAAAGAATATGCCTTTCACAAGAAGCAAATGTCAAGTGATCAGCATGCTGTTTGTTGAATGAAATTATCCTGGTGAGCACTGTAGAAAAGCTTTTCTGTAAACCTGCTAATCCATTTGAAATTTACTTCCTTAATGATAAAAATTAGTTATTGACATGCTGATACAAACAATGTCTCTGTAAGCAGTCCTAACACTGCAGTTGTATTTGTGAAAACTAGTCATCGTTTCCATTTGTATTTCCAGTTTGCTCACTTCTGTTTTAATACTGAAAGACAAGGCAATATTATTATACAATTCTTTATATTTTCATAGTTTTGGAAGTAAATCAAACCCTATAACAGTTCCCTGTAAGAAGTAAATGTTGTTGTCCTATTTGGATACTTATGAAAGTCACAAGATATGTAGAACGATTTGCTGAAGGCCATACAATGAGTCAGTGTTATATCCAATATTACAGATTAAGATCATTGCTCTGAGCAACTGTAGAGCATTGCTTAGACCAGGAGATCAATACATGCTGAACTGTCTGCTATTTTTAGTGGAGAGTTCATTCCTCCTTCATTTTCTGCCTCCTTGCTGCATATGCCATCTTCCATATACTATGCTATGAGACCAATAACCATCCACATATGTCCTTAGAAGCTTTTTTTCTGTTCAAGTGAGAAAGAATTATACTGAATAGTTTTCTTGCTTTAAACTGCAGAAAACTTGTCCTTATGATATAGTATGTATTATATACTGATGTATTTCTTGAATTCTTTGGAAGACGGTTTTGTCATGATATGACATTGGATATGAACCAAGAACATGATTATTAACAAAATTTATGTTGCAACAATAAAAAATTAAAAGGCTGCTTCTAGAAAACACTTATGTGCAATATACTAGGAAATTAATGACATAGTAAATAAAGTAGTCACTGAGTAAAGGAATACTTAAGAATGCATCCCAATCCTTACAGATGTCTATTAATAGGGCTTTTTTCTTCTGTTATATTTCTTTGTTGATATAAATAAGCTGAGTCTTGATTTTCCATTTGCTTAACATTAAGAAATGACTTTCCTCTCTATGTGTTAATTTCCTTTTTTCCTGTCTTTCAATTATATATTGTATAAACATCCAGTAATCTTATATAAAGAAAACTCTAGAGATGTATTCCCCAAAATAAAATATATTTTCCTAATGAAACATGGGGATCTGGGGGCAAAGAAAGAAACCAAAACATCCAATGTGAAATGCAAATATTGAAGTACTTTCAATTTACCAAGTCTTGTTTTATAAACCTAAGATTCTATATTAAAAAAATAAAAGGAAAATAATATTGATACCATACCACAACAAACCTAAATATTATATCACCAGTAGCATGAATCTAGACTAGCAAATAACCAGGTAGAATACTGTTATAGTCTGTTTTAATTTATGAGTATACAAATGTAATACAACTTATTTCCTAATACAGGTTTTCATACAATTACTATCATAATTCTATCTTTATAGTATTCTGGCAATTTCAGCAATTTCCTGAAATTATCAGAAGTAGCAATCGAATAAATGCAGTGTGTTCCTTTACACAATGTCTCTGGAAACTATTTCGCACAAATAGTTTGCAGATGCATCTTGGAAAGGATTTGATTCTGCTTAAGGTGGAGACAGAGTTGGACGTTCTCTGTTCTACACAGACTATTTAAAAATTTTTGTTTAATCATTGCTAAGGTTATCATATTGGTATGTATGCTTCACCTTTTCTTGATGACATAAGGAAGACTGATGTCAGAATTCTGCAGTTTTTTAGGCAGCAGAATGAAATGCAATGAGCCTGATACTCCACTAGGCAAACATCCACCAGCAGATGTGAATAGAATTCCAGAACTACAACTGCATTGTACATGAACTGGAACATCCTTCACATAAAATTATCAACCACTGAACACATCTGAATCATGATATTAATGGCCTAAACAGTGTTCAGTTATTGAACTAAGCATTGCCTCTTGACTTTTCCAAATGTTAAGAATGTATATGCCCTCATATTTACACTAGATGTTCCTTTTAAGTATCTCTTCCACATTTTTTATTGTTCTATTAGATGGATGAATCGTTTGGGTCTCGCAGCAATTGGTTACACACCTGATGACAAGGATATTCATCCAGATGAAGGTAATGCTTCAGAAATGATAATTAGGAGAAGAGAGCAGAGGGTACATATCTGTTCAGTATTTGACCAGAGCTGGAGATGTCATAACTGATTTCTTTATTAACATACGTGCCATATCTTTTAAAATATCCATTTTCATAAGAATCTATATTCTTGAAGAACTGTATTTATTGGTGCCACCTCCAAAGAAAATAAAATCCTGGGTAATAATTTTAATATTTAAAGCAAGTAATAAAGAGAATGCAAGGTTCAGGGTGAGGTATGATCTCCCAGATCGCAGCCATCAGGTATGCTCATTGCCCTAGAACAAGTGAAGACATCACAAACACAGTTCAATATGTGCCTTAGAACCACTTTTGCATCTCCTCAGCTCAGTTGCCAGCCTTGCCTTTCTCACCATCAACCATGGTGGAACCTGTTATGCTAAAACTAAATTAAGCACTGAAACTCAGATCTACTCTGGCACCCAGAATGAAATTTCTCTTTGAAAGTCTGTGACCAGAAGCTGTTTTTTATGTACAGTGGGAGTTAGGTGCCCAACCTGATTTCTGTAATGCTATCCTAAAACACTGAAGGTTATTCTACATATCTGTGTATCTTAGGTGCCAGACATTTTCACAAGGCTATTCTGTAGCGACTGCCAAACCATCTAGGTGACTGTGAAATGTTTACTTTTGCATCCTAACGATATTTTTAAAATGTGGGATCCACTTTCTTGCAAAAAAGCATGAGTGAAACCCCAAATGCTTTGTTAGCAGATTACTGGAGTGAAAGCGACCAGGATGACATCGACGGCTCCTTAACCCTGAAGCAGGAAGGCTCTTCAACACTGTGTGACACCTATCATCGAACACCCTCAGTGAGTTATAAATATTGCATTTGACAGTAGGTCAACAAAAAATATCTGTGCATCTTGATTTGCATTTTCCTTGGTTTGGAATATTTAATTACCATAAAGGCAGAACAAAGATGAATCTCATTGTAAGAATGAAATTACTGCTGTTCCTCATGAGCTAAAACCTGAATGTTTCCATAACAAGACAATTACAAATGAAGGAGAGGTAAAGGTCTCCTTACACTGATACGTCACCAGGCTGTAAATGTGATATTTTTTGTAGGATTTGGGAGACTACACCTAATAATAAACAGAGTATTCAAATGTTGACTTTGCAGCAGAATATGAAAAGAATGTGGTGGATGGGATAGTTTGTATTAACTAAGACTGGTTTTCAAGTATGAATATTGGATAATGGATGCTAGAGATTAAGGTCAGATCATATTCATGCAGTAATCATGTTTTAGTGCAAACACTTTTTTAAGAACATATCTTCAGAGGTGAAGGTTTTTTTATAATATGAAGTATTGTGTACAATACCATAGTAGTGACAGTATTTTCTGTTATACAATACTAAGTAGCTGATAAAAGCTAATATATTCTAATATATTGTGTACAGACAGATTTTGATAACTGAGGGAAAAAAAAAACCACATTTGGTATATGAAGAGGCTCTAGTAGCAAATAAGAACATTTCTGTTATACAGAACATAGACAGGCTGTGATAATTATTCTATGTTTCTAGGCGCAGATAGGACTGTTCTCTATTTTTCTTTCAGATTTTTCTTCAGCGTGAATGACACGATCCTCACACAGCCAGAACCAAAGAAAGAGTGACTGAGACAACAGCATCACATGGGTGAAGTTCAGACTGATTTTCACCCATGTGATGCTGTTTTATCAACTGGGATACAGGTTAAGCCCCTCCCTTTCTGTTTTTTCACTTTTTTGCCTTTCTCTTTGTTTTTAAATTAAAATTATACACAGACCCAGCAGAATTAATTAAAATAAATTGAGAAGTTCAGCAGTCTCCCAAAATTCAAAAATCTTCCTGGGTGCTGAAGTTTGGTGGTTTTTTTTTTCTGTTTGGCTGGATACTTATCCCCTAAAAAGAGAAAGGAAATCCAACTATGATTTCTTTTGGGGACTTTCATGTCTTCACAGCACACTGCTGGACTGAGTGTAAACTGGACAGGTCTTCAGGAAACCTGTTCCAGTATTATATTGTTCTTTCCAGCAGAAGCTGCTCATGGGCAGAGAATGTGCAAAACAAGAATAGGGAGTGGTTAAAACATAGCAGTTGCATAAAAGTTCTCACTGCTAATTATGTTCTGTTTACAGAGGTTCATATTATAACATATCAAAACACACACATCAGTCCATTTTATTAGTATATATCATGTAATGTTCTACTCTTTAGTCATTTTCTTGGGTCTGTTCAAAACATCATCTTATAGTCAGATGCTTTTGTATCATTTCAGGTGAATTCTTCAAGTCCATTCCCTGAAGCCAAACACGGTCGACACTTTTCAAGTGAGTCAACATATTCTCATTCTTCTGCCGAGGATTCTCGACAAGATGTAGCAGGGAGCACACACTCATCGGGATGCAGACCTCCCTACCGAGAAAGACGCTCATGGCAGGATCTGATAGAGACTCCATTAACCAGTTCAGGGCTCCATTTTCTTCAGACTGTTCCTCCTGATATGGAGTACATGAGTGGAATGTCACCAGACAAACGAAGACAAGCAACGCTACCAGTACAAAGACGTCATAATTATGAGCAGGAAGGGCCTTTCCCTTTGGTGGAATGTCAGAGAGGACACAGCTCTCATAGCAGGCCACAGAAGCAACGTAGTCAAAGCCTTCCCCGAAACAGAGATGTCAGGGGTAAGGGATGTGTGAAGTCCATAGAAGGAACAGATGAGAAGCTGGAAGAGAAAGTTCCTGTCAGAAGACATAACAGTTTCTGTGCAGAAGGTAAGCTTTTGGAGATGTTCAGATCCTCTTTACTGCCATTGAAAGCCAAAACAATATTGTCATTATTCTCAGCAAGGTTTCTGTGGTTTAACTGTTATACATCAGCAAATTCATCAGTCACTACACAGGAGTTTGTACTTGAAATTCTTGATTGTAGTAGTACTAAGAATACAGCTTTGGCACTGATCAAAATGTTCTTGTGTTATCAAAACAGAAATTGAGACTGTGTTTTAAGGTTACTTTATACATGAATTTGCAGTATTGCTTGCTGGTTTTAGAGACTTTGAATGGTTAGATTTGTAGTTAGGTTTCTTTATTTTCTTTCAGAAAATGTAAAAGAAACTGGGGAAAATACGGATGGTCTGCAAGAGCTATACAAATCTCTGGAACAAGCTAGTCTGTCAGCTTTTGGAGAGCAGCGTCCTTCCACCAAGCAGGAGTTCCGCAAATCTTTCGTAAAGCGATGTAATGATCCAGTTATCAATGAAAAGCTTCACCACATCAGAGTTCTCAAGAGCACTTTAAAAGTAAGGCTTTATCATTAATTTTGTGTATAAGCAATATAAACTTATAAAAGTATAATCTCATAATGTTTTCCATGGATGAGGCTTTCTTTGTAGCTTTAGAATTAAGTTCCAAAGAAACTAAAAATACTTGAAAGCTAACATGTTCCAGCTTAAGGGCAAAAAGAAAAGTTATTTGGCACTCTGTATAGACACGTTGTAGAAGATGACAAGGATTGAGCTGCCAAACAGTTTAGGCTGCAATAGTTCCTGAATACAAGTACAAGATTAAAGTGTCCCACAGTAGTGTTCCCTAGTACTTTGCATTAAAATGAAAGAAGAAATAAAGTGCCAAAATGCATAATGTGGCATAAATTTAATTCTGACATGTACTGTGTCTTTCTGGAATTTGATAGGCAAAGGAAGGGGACCTCACAGTTATCAACAGCCTTCTGGATGATCCCAACTTAACATCAAAGAAGTTTAAAGACTGGAAACTAAAAAACTATGAGTTTTTCCTGGACATTTGTGAGTACAGTGCGGTTGTGAAATCTCAAAATGGAGCCTCTGAACTTGCAACCTCAGCACCAATGCTGACACATACACACTCGTTCATTGAAACTCACGTGTGACAGGACTCATATCCTGAATAATTGCTGGGTGCCATGAAAAATCGACTAAGACAAACACTGTAATATTTATTGATAATGTACTCAGCAGTACTGTAAATAAGTTGAATAAGAGAATAGTGCCACAGGATGCCTACTACATTGCATGATAAGACAATAATATTCTTTATGAATTCTTTTTTGTTTGCTATTATCAACCGATGTCCGTATCAAGCTCTGCATTAGAAAGAAGCAGTGCAGAAGTGTAACTGAAAATAAATACCAGTATATGTAAAGTACTGTACTAAAACTAAGCTTATAGTATGAGCTCCTACAATCATTTTATATATTTAGATATACATAAAACCATATCTATGTATATAAAATGTAACACAGTAGTTGACATTTACTTTTAAAATGCCCTAAAGTTCACATTTTCACACATTTTTTCTTGACTAAAATATAAAATGAAAACATAAATACATTGGCCACACTTAGAGATGAACGTTTATTTTTGCAACATTTCCAGGTAGTGACCATCTTTGCAAATAAAAGGACAGAGTTATCAAAATGTAAACTCAATCCCTATAGTGTGCCTTAAAATGTACACTGTACATCTAGCAAATAGATCCCAATCTGGCCCTATGGGCATACTGTACATGCCATTTAGATACTGTGTTTGTAACATACTGTGCTTGCCTTTGAAGTGAATGAATATAAGCAAGCAGGTATGGCACAGAGGTTAGGGTATGAGTAGAACAATGTTGGTTGTTCACTAATGCTGCAACTTAAACTGATTTTAATATAATTTGAAGTATTTCATGGTGAAAGAAAAACATCTGCGCTGAATATGGTACATACTGAAGGTTTTCATAGTTTCTTCACTGTGAATTTAAGTGACACATGACTGTGAGTCACAAAATTCAAAAAAGCTCTGATGCTTCAAGGATGAGAATTAAGTTGAAAAAAAAATCCTGAACTAATCAATTAAATTCTGTAATAGACTGACATCTAGAGCTGAGTAAATTACTCAGAATTATGTAATGTCTGGCAATAATGTTTAACTGTTAGTAGTACATTAACAAGTGGGTGAAGTTATTCAATACATCATTTGAAAACCAATTTGTATTGATTGGTTTGGGAAGACACACAAGTCACATAGTGTATTTCACTTCCTTGCCTGGATGAGAATGATTTCTAAGAATCAGATTCTGGAAAAAATACTTGTATTCTTGGGAAAAAAAAAAAAAAAAAAAAAAAAGAGAGATAGAGAGATTGCTCTGAATACCACTGAACATAAATTTCAAACATCCATTCACAATTTTCTCTGACTATGCTTACTAGAATGTCTCTAGAAAGCAGAACAAAGGGGATGTGAATACAGTTGACGTCATTTCACTAAAACACAAATATTCACTGATAAGTTTTTCACAAGACAAACCTAGTTGTCTCTCATACATCAAGAATTGGAAACTTCATACAGTTCAATATAATATAGGAAAAAACATTATCTCAGTGAGGTCCTAGTATCTAGGAAGAGATTTAACTATTCACAAAGCCAGAACTGGGTGAAGGTATCCTGTTTGCTTAGTTCAGCCTCCACAAAGCAGCTGTGCCGGGTTGACCCTGGCTGGCTGCCATGTGCCCACCAAGACGTACTCACCCCCCTCTCCTCAACAGGGCAGGGGGAAAAAAAGGATGGAAAAGTTCGTGGGTTGAGAGATAAAGACAGGGACATGACCCACCAATGACCATCATGGGCAAACCAAAAACAGACTTGACTTGGGGAAAATTAATTTATTGCCAATTAAAAATACAGTTGTACAGTAAGAAACAAAGACAAAACTAAAACCACCTTTTCCCTACCTCTCCCCTTCTTCCCAGGCTCTATTTCCTTCCTTCATTCCTAGCTTTTCTACCTTCTTCCCCACTCAGTGGTGCAGGGAGATGGGGAATGGGGGTTGCAGTCAGATCATAACACTTTGTCTCTGCTGCTACTGCCTCACACGGTTCCCTGGCTTCAGCATGACGTCCCTTCCATGGGCTGCAGTGAAAAAAAAAAAAGTGTGAAAGATTTGTCTAGCATTGCTTATGCCTTAGAGCAAGTGAAATCTAATTGTTAAATTAAGCAATACAAGGACTTTATTCTTTCACAGACGTCAGCTGACACTTGAAAGCAATTTCACAAGAATTTTGTCATACTTTTTGCATGTGTACTCAACTTCTTACTACCACTAGTTTCTTCTTTCTGGATTTAGGTACTAACCAAGCTAAACTATAGAAAATAATGTACAAAGTCACCATAGCACAACTATTTGGAATTTCACTAGCTTTGAAATAACTGGAATGCAAAGTGCGATACAAGTATTGTATTTAAAATCCTGCTATGTATTAAAATATAGAAAATTATCCTGGACTGAAAGGTACTTGTACAATGCAGCTGAAATTATTATGGTAGTTTTGATGCCATATTTTTAAATGAGAAAAAAAAATTCTTTGCTGTTGAGTTCATCAAGGGAAATAAACAGCACTAGTACAATACATTTATTAACTTACTAGATTTCCTGCCTGAATACTTAGATAAAACTTGGTTCTTAACATAAACAACTACATGAAGAGATTGTTTGGATGCATTTCATTCATCCGGATCTTATTAAACCTAGTGACTTCATTCAGAATTCTTGCAAGCAAAATGTCCCTCAGCCAGCAGACCTTCTCTGTGACTCCAGCTTAGTCCTTTTGTTACTGGCTATTTCTTATTATAACTAATTACATGCTCCTCCTAAGCTACTGATTCTCCTCCTTTTTTTAATACTGTTCCATATTCAGTGAGATCTTGGATCTTTGTCTTGGTAGCTATCTCAGCAGCACTTCCTGAGAAAACTGAAACCTTTTTCTTGGTTTCATTAATTGAAATGAAAACTTTCCTGAGCTTACTCTAATTAATATGAACAAGAGGTAATCCAAGGAGGAGGAGTAGGTTCTCATCAGTCTATATGTCCACATTCTCTAGTACAAATAATGAAGAAATACTGGGCCCACAGTCTGTGACATTTGCCCTCACAAGTAATCGGTCTGAGCTGGATTGTTCAGGGTGGCTCTACCTGCCATGACACAGGAGGTTGCTTCACTTCATTGGCAAAAACCGGCCTGCGGTTTCATCAGCTTCTGACACAGCTCTACTTTCTCCAACACATCATGAGCACTTCTTGAGCTGCTTTAGCACCATAAGGAAAGACTGATCAATTGCTATGAGAAGATTTTGGAGGATGAGATTTTCCATCTTTTCCAAGCAGGGAATTCTGAATATAAGATAGATAATATTCAGATCTAGACTGCTCTGTTTTAAGCTAGAAATGTCATGCATCACTTTTTCCAAGGAAAAAGAAATGAGTGTTGCAGAGAATTGCTACATGTACATGGACACTTAACTTTATTCTTACTGTCTTCAGCAGTTATAGCTTCCAGACCAAAATACTCTCTGCTCCAAGGTTTTGTGAAGGATGGTAAAGGTACCTTTGAAGAGTTTACTTTACAGAGGCATTGGGAAGTGCCCAGCCTCATCAAAAATGGTAGAATTCTACTGCTGACCTTTAGAAGACTTCACTTTGAATGTTGGTAGGACTTTTGGGGAAGAAAAAAAAAAAAAAAAAAAAGATTCTGGTATAAAATCTTTACCTTAACATGAATCTGAGGAGAACGAAGAAAATTCTTGTACCTATCTTTGTCTCAAGTAACACAAAGCAGACCTAAGCACATCACATAACTTATTTGCAATATTCTTTTATCATGTAGCTTTACTTGTCTTCCAAATTATTAAAAGCATTATTTTCTGAAAAAAAAATAGTGGTACTTATGACCAAGGTGATACATCTGGGGTCTGTCCTGGGAAACCTTGGCTGTTGGCCCCTTGAGGTGGGACAGCTCTGCCAGGCAGAGCTATTTCGTGATATTTCACTGACAGTTTGGACAAATTTTTCATGCAATTGGGACCAAAGTGTTTCAAAGGAGGGTTGTTTAAAACAATCCTTGTCTAAGGCAAGATGGAGCACAACTGATCAAGAAAACTTCAGCCCCATCTGCAATGCCTGTCAGCTACCCCCAAAACTGTAATACAAACGACGCCTACCATACAATTTTATTTACAATTTAAACACTAAATCTGTTTGCATAAGCAAATCTTGTGTCTCTACATAGATCCTGAATACTGTGTCTGAACTCTGTCCTGGAGAGATTCCTTAAGAAAGAGAGCATAGGTCTGTTGTATTACCGGGCCTCGGCCCTGAAAATACCATTTATAGTACACCCGAGTTCACATAGTGTAATGTGAGAGAAACAAGTGGTAATAAAGGATTTTTAATTTCTCCTTAGTTTTCACAATAGAGAAACTGCATTTCCAGGGAAGACAGAAGGGTGCATGTTATAGCAATGCATTTTTACTTGGAGTATAGGTTTGTAGGTGTTCCACATACCATATGCCTTAGATCACTGAACTTAAAAATCTCTTTAGAGACAATACACCATCTTCCCTGTTTCCAAATTGTATTTACCACTAGTACAAAAAATGGGTAATGACAGGAAAGACTGAAGAAGCAATAGTAGCTAATCAATATATATTAAGTAATAAACACCTCTTTTTCTTCTAGAATGTTTCCCTCATCAAAGCTAAGGTTCAGAGTGGCTTTTTTCAGGCGAGGTACTGTGGGGATAGGTTCCCCATCTCCTCTCACCCCAAATGAGTTCATGGTGTGTGGCTGAGGCTCTCGGTGGGTGTTAACTGGGCATGCACCTGAAAGTCAAACCTGAGCCAAATCAGCTGATGAATGGAGAATACATTGTTATTTAAACACAGACTAGTAAATCATATTTTCTTAGTTGATTTTAAAAATTATTTTCTTTACTCCCATTACACATAACCATAATGATGTACTCCTGATCGGTTCCATTCAGCAATGTGTAGACAGGCGACGCTATTCTTGATATAACTGATAGACAAAGCAGCAGCTTTTTAAAGCTTAGTTTCTTCATTTTACAGTTTTTACCATACTTTCACATTCAGAAGAAGGATTACAAAAAATATCCTTCAAGCTTTTATCAGTTTTTGAGATAGCTGATATACTGCTGGGACTTACTCTTAATAAAAGCATTTAAAAAATTCAGACAGATACTGCCTGTCATTATCTTCAGGAAAAGAACCATATTCATTCTTAATGCAGACCAGACAGTTTATTTTTATCAGACACATACAAGTGTTAAAAATGACAATTAGGGACTTCGCTGTATGCATTAATGCCACTTTTTGAAAGAAAGCAATGTTGTAAAAATGGTACAATATGTCAACAAACAGTTGTTTGACCAGCTAGGCCCTCTAGTTTCTGTCCTCACATTTCTAGAATATTGTTCATTCTCAGGCCTTGGTGAGGGTATCAATACAGATCTTTTTACCAACTGTAAATGCATCTGTCTGAATGCTGCAGATTAAAAATAATGCCACATTATACATATTAACTCTATTGCATTTTTTTCACTAGCAACCATGAAAAAAATATGTCTTAACAAATCGTGTTCACTGGCCAAAATACCAGTAAGACCCTGTTACCAGTTAAGACTTCTGTTTTACTGAGAAACAAGGATTTCAGCTTAAAAATCTGAAAAGAAAACAGGTTAGGATATAAGAGAAATGCACTAGTATTAATAAACTTTTTACATTTGACACATACTGTATTACAAAGAAGATATCCTTGTAAGAACATTAATTGTTGGGCCATAGGTGACTTCTGTCTAGTTTACTAAAGTAGCTAATAAAACTTGTATAGAGAGCCTTTTTTAGATAACGCTTACATGTATGAAAACGTATGACACCCTTGTACTATGGCTTGCACTTTACTTGCATTAAACTGTGAAGTAGGCTGTAGTAATGTCTTTGTATATTCAGGGGTTGAAATACCAAAGCACTAGAGTATCGTACTGCTGGTGTTCAACCTGTACTGTTTATTAAATCTGAACATGCTGACAATGTGTATTTTGAAAACCCCACTAACTTAAAATCTTTAGCAAATAATGCTATGGGGTCTCCATGGTCTTTGTTTCTTTGTAAATATAAACATTCTTACTGTTTCTGTAGCAATAGGAGGTTATAAACCAAACTTTCACTAGGACTGTTTTCAATAACAAAAAATCTATAGCGCCTTGTATAAAAATCATGGAGACTCCATGACCTGTGGGCATTTTTTGTTTACAAGCAGTATGTATATAAGTATTAGAGGCAGAACTGTTATTTATCACAAAGTTATGTTGTGGAGGATTCTTTCTAAAATAAATGTATGTTTTCTGTCATTATGAAAAATAAGTATTTTAGAGCCATCTTGAAAAGTTTGAAGTGTCAACGCTTCAAATACTAGTAATCTTCCATGTTTCAGCCTTGTTTTTCTAATCAGCTGTGAGATGAACTGGGAGGTAATGGTAAACCACCTGCCTATGCCAGGGAAAATGTCTGAGTTATATCACAGGTGATGAGCATTCTGCAACTTTTCTATAATCACCATCTTGCTTAAGCGCTTTGATGAGCAGATGCTCTATTGATACTGTAGTGAAGTCCCTCAGCTCATTGACGCTAGAAAGAGAAAATTAACTGCTCTAGACTAATACAGGTAAAACTAGGTTTCAACCCCTGGATAATACAGTATTTCTTCAGTTTCACAACAGTATTTTTAATTTTATACTTGTCTATGTTGAGAGATGATCCAATAGTTTATATAGGCAATGAACGTTAGGTTTCTTTTTTCCCTCTTTTCAGATGAGTTCTGTGTGAATTACTGTAATCGGCTGCGTTTTTTCTATCACAGATTAACTTGTTAACTTTTTGTGTGTCTACAATGAAAATTTATGAATGGAAAACTTCACTGTGTGTTGCTCACTGGGCATATACCTCATGGTACATTGCACAGACGTGTAAGTTGTAAGTTGCACTGCAACATTAAAAAAGGAACATATTGCTCTTTTTTCAAAGATATTAACTTATTTAAGAGATATAGTCTGTACATTATTAAAAAGAACATTTATTCTTCCTAAATTCAAACAAAGCTTTTGTTTGGGGGGGGGGGGGGGAGGGAAGTTGTCAACTTCAGTTGTAAATTTGGACTTCAATAAACAAATTATCTGCACTTAAATTCTGTGCTTGTGTGTGTGTATGTTCTCCCAAACCTGTGATTGGGATGAATAATCACAGTCCAGTGTCAGTCCTGCATTCGAACTGGGCAGATGCAGAGTTTGTAGCCAGCTGATGTCTCCCTTGGACTGACCACACCTCCCACGCCGTTCCAACAGCTCAAGCTGTGGCTCCTTAACACCACTATCCCTCAGAAAATTGTTCTGGACATTTCCTTGGTCAAAGCAAATGCAGCTTGCATGGGGTTTTCTCTCCATTTAATGTTTTAATACGGGGACATTTGGGGTTTGTGCTTTTCTGACTGAATTGTGACTAGTAATCTTGTATTTTGGAGTAGATCTTGGGGGTAGAATATTTTCTAGGAACTAAAAAGTTAAAAAAAAAGAAAAAAAAGCACCAGAGATATGTCAGTTCATGCCAGGATTGAAGCCTCTGCTACGGTCATCTCTGTGCGCGCCGTCTCCGTTGAAGGCACCGGCAGAGACACGCACCAAAGAACAGCACTGCAGAGGCCGTACTGAGCAAGACCCCACCAAGCTCCACTTTTAAATGACAGGCACTCTGTAGGGCAGGATTAAATGAAGGCAGCTGAGCGCGGTGTCTTACAAAGCTATCAAAACCCACCCGCTACTGCCGTTGTTTATTTAGCGACTCTCGTCACCTCAAAACCCACGGGCATCCGCCTCGCTCCTGCCAGGCGGCCCCGGCGCTGAGGGAATTCCCGCTCCTTCCCCTGCGGCGGCGCCCCCGGGGGCCCGGCCGGGCTGAGGGGGCGCCCCGCGCGTGAGGGGGGACGGGACGCGCGCCCGGCCGGGCTGAGGGGGAGCCCCGCCCCCCGCCGAGCGCTCGGCCCTTCCCGCTCGCCGTAGGCGGCCGTGTGGGGCCGTCGCTAAGATGGCGGCCAAGGTGAGTGCCGCCTTGCCTAGGGGAGGGCGCTGCTGCGGCGGCCGTCTCGGCCTGGTCTCCCCCTCCCGCTCGGGGACGCCGCAGCCCCGAGGGGAGCCGGGGACACTCCGTGGGGCCGCTCGCCGTTCCCCCGCCCTTCGGCTGCTCCGCCGGTCCGCCCGCACCCTCGGCGCCTGCCAGCTGCGGGGCGGGAAGGAGCCGCTCCCGCCCCCGGTGCTCCGCGGCGCAAGGGCAGCCTGAACCGCCGCAGCGCACACGGGCCCGGCGGCTGCCCCGGCCGGGGGGTCGCTGAGCTCGGGAGGAGCCCCGGGAGCGCGGGTGGGCCCGCCAGGCTGAGTAGCTCGTTGGGGTGGGGGTACCCCGGCCCTCGCTGGCCACCCTGCACAGCCCTTCCCCAGCGCTGGCCCCGGCCTGGCTCCACAGCCGCTCTGCTCCAGCGTGAGGGGCTTAGAGGGCCGTAGTTTCCCGGAGTGGGGACATCCCTTCAGCCTGTAACGGAGGGCTCAGATGAAGGAGGAGTAGGAAAGTAAGAGGTCTCAGTATTGCCTTCTCTGTTGCAGAAGTTGAGTCAGAAAGACCTGTTTGAAGAGGGTGGTTAAATTGTACAGCAGGGGATACAAGAAGTATTCTCTTCTGGTTGGTCTCTGCTTACAGCTTCTGAAATGCCTTACACTCCTTACTCGGGAGATGAAATATGAAGCTACTGCTTTGGTAGTAGCATTGTAAAGTGTAGTGGTGGTGTGCATCACTAAACCAATGGTGTTAAAATCATGCTGTTACAAACTAACAAACAGGGCCACAATTATCTAAAATACCTTTAATTGTAGAGATAATATAGTGTATTTAAACAGGAAAAAATGTGTCTGTAAAGAATTAGGCTTTCTCTCAAACATTTAGACAGGTCTTCCAATTTTCATAGTCAAATTGGTGAATAGGTTGCTGTCACGTGATTTACTTTTGCAAAGCATTTAAAATGTGTATATATCTGCAAAGAAAAAGATGATACAAATGAGGACAGCCAAAGGAATGGAAATGAAGTATTTTACCTTATTTTGTTATGAGACAAGTACCTGAAAAAAAGAAACCTTATTTGGCTTTGCTGTATGCCTGGGTGATCTTGAAGTAGTATAATTTAGTACATAAATCTGAATGATTCAATACCTTTAGGGAAGTGACATAACTATGTGTGTTATTTGCGATTTACTATTCTTAAGTTTTCATTCTCTATGAGTTACCATCTAGCAGACAAAGATTAAAAACAAATCTGTGGAGTATTAGTAAATTGAATTGAAGTGGAAGGTTGCTCTGTTCCACTCATTTTATTTTTTTTTGTAGTTGTCATTAGAGATTTATAAATAAATACAAATCCAAATTAAAATACTCTGTTTGGCTTAGAAACTTCTGATAATTTTCATGCTTTGTGTAACATCTGGGAAAAATAAAAGAATTTGAGACAGTTTTCTTTTCTACCTCAAGACATCTAAATGGTATCAGAAAACTATAAACTCCTGCTTCTTATTCCTGAAGTAACAGCTCTTCACTGAAAATATGCAGTAGCAGCTAAAATTTTAATCTCATTTTAATCTGGCTAGTAGATTCTGATTTTGTGATAGAGAAGGCATATATATATGTATATATACACATGCATCAGGTTTTTACATATATCCTTTGATTACTTATTTTCATTTTGAGGCTTGTTCCTACCCTTAGGGCAAGTTTCCTTATGTATACTCTAGCTCCCGAAGCAAGGATCTAGAATTTGTAGAGTTTCAGTGAGAAACAATACTTAATGTCTTGGAGATTAGCATAAATTAAATATATGGTCTTATTATGCTTTAGTTTGTATTCTGCATCTTTTGAGTTGAAGATAGTGAATTCTTTTAAGTGATGAATCTGTATTTTTGATCTTTGATAAGATTGTAACACCTTGAAGTAGATTGTTTGAAATACAAAAACTTAAATCCAAAATTATCCAGGTACATTTGACAGTTTTATTATTATATTTTGATTAGTTTTACTCTAGCTCTGTGTCCTGGTTTGGGCTGAAATAGAGTTAATATTCCTTTTCAGGGACTAGAAGAGTGCTGTGTTTTGGATTTAGCTTTGGGTTTGGTAGAGAAGAATGCTGATAGCACACTGATGTTTTCAGCTGCTGCCGAGACTTCCAGGACTCTCCGACTCCCCATGTCTTGCCCGTGCGCCAGGGCACAGGGAGCAGGGAGGGAGCACGGCCACAGCACCTGACCCGAACTGGCCAGTGAAATATTCCATACCATGGACTGTCATGCTCACTATATAGAGGAGAGGTGGTTGGGAAGTTGCTCTTTCTCTCGCTTCCGGGATTGCGATTGTGGGATCTTGGTATTTCGGGATCGCTGGCCGGGAACGGGCTGGGTGTTGGTTAGCGGGTGGTGAGCAATTACGCTGTGCATCGCCCGTACTGTCATTGTTCTCATTTTATTACCATTATTAAACTGTTCCTATCTCAGCCTGCGAGTCTCCCTTCACCCCTCTAATTCCCTCCCCCATTCCCGGGTGGGTGATCAGCTGCAGTGGTTGGTTGCTGACCAGGCTCAAACCATGACACTCTACTATTAAAAGGCATAACTGTAAAAATTTTCTGCTAGAGAGCACGTAATAAATTTCTTCAGTAAATAATTGCTATTCAGTGTTCTCATCAAACATAATGCCGTGTCTGTTAGTCTGCATTGTTTAGTGCTTTGAAATAACCAATGTGCTTTCTATGCTTGGGGAAAAAAAAACAGCCCACTGGTGGTACATGGTGCAGTGTGATGGCAGTGTCAGGAGCATGGCACTGGTATTACTGGAAATCTTCTGACTCTTTCCATTGACCTTCCCCTCCTCCCTCCATCCAGAGCATTAAAGCTGGTAACTTCGTATGTAGTTCTGGTGATGTTTATATCTATGTTCATACCGAATTCATCTCCAGAAGATGTCATCTGAGCTCGTGGCTTTTCTAACTGCTGGTATTTAGATCTGTTGCCATTAGGGACTGGATGATTTTCTTTTGTTAGTTTCATAGGGTTTAGGTCAGAACATTAATTCGGATAAAAGCAGGACTAGTAATAAGATGCAGAGCAGATGTTGAACTATTTCAATTAAAAAAAAAAATCCTGCATTCATTAAAGAGAACATTATCTGGTTTGAATCAGTTATTGACTGGTGCTATGGAATCATTCTGGTGGTTGACCATGTAATTCCAGGATTTTTTACAGCTCAACCTTGTTGCAAATGGTTTTCTCTGTACTTCTTTCCTAGTTTCTTTGAAACAGCTACATGATCCTGTCATTTCTTACACCTCAATAACTTCTTTTAGAAGTAAAATATCATTTAATTTCTTTAGCTAAACAATAGATGATTTTCCTTGTTTAATACTTGATATCCTTTGAAGTTATTTTAATAAAATAATCTTAATAAGAAGAAATAACTTAGCTAATTGAGGTATTTTTAATATACCTAGTCATTAGATAAAGGAAGAGGATAGACAACTCAATGTAGTGAAGCCTCTTTTGTGTAGTCAAGGTGACGTTGCTTCTCTTTTACCTCAGTTCTTTGTGATTTCCATAGAAAAGAGTGAAACCTTCTTGGAATAGTTGTGCCAGCTAAATGTTAGATAGAACAGCTGTTCGCTTGGGTTTTGAAACATGCATTTGTCTTCAGGTGTCCAAAAGTGAAGCAATTACTGTCAGTCAGGAATTGGACTACTTTCATCACTCCTGATATAGCTTTCTCTTTTACATTTAGCACAATAAACTCCACTGACTTTCTAAAACAAATTAATCAAATTTATTAAGTGAAGAATATAACTTTTTAATGATTTCTCACTTCTAAATTTTTATTTTCCTTCTAGTGTCTACTGAATATTGGTATGTTGTCTTGGCAGCATCATGTACTGAAATAGCCTATCTTAATTAGGATACATTTTAAACCCTTTCCTTTAATAATGCTTTAAAAATACAGACTTTCCTTTGAAGGTGGATATCCCTTCATAGGTAATATTCTGTAGCTCAGACTGTGGCATTATGCTCTAAGCAACATTATCAGAAGTGCAGTTACTGTGTTCATCGGTTCATATTTTGATTATTTCATCCTCTCTCACCCATCTTCTCTGTCCTGGGGCTGTTCAGTGGTGGGAGAGCTGCTCCCCTGTGCTGGGCACAGCTGAGTCAACAGAGGCTCCTGGTGACTTTTTCTGCTAAGGTCGCCGTGTTAGGCACTGAAAGAAGAAATGACAAGTCCTCTTCAGTATAGCAGTCATGACCTAAGTTGTACTAAGTGTGTAAAATCATTGATATTTAGTGTTAATTAACATTACATGTTAAACCTTTTGTCAACATGTGACAACTGAATCTTTTCACAGTGCTGGTCAACATATGTGGTCTCAGCTGGCTGTATTTTCACATATGTAGGACTTTTCACTCTAGATTTCTGGGAGAGGTATCACCTTTGTCTTCCTCCTGACCATGTCTGCGCTCGCCAACATAGCTAGGTTAGCATGGGAAAAACGCGGTTCTTTCATAACATGGTTTTTGGGATCTCCCCCTCTGCCCCTCTCCAAATCCAGATGTGTTATTGACTTGCACAGTGTCTGCTCCCACCCCTGTGCGTGTATGGTGTGTGTAAACCCTCCCTGCCGAGGTGAGGGAACAGGCGGCAGCTTCCACGAGTCGCGGGGTTTGCGTCGCTGCCCTGCCTGCCGGCCTCTGGGGGAAGAGGAGCTCGCTCAGCCTCTGCTTCCATGCTGTCCCCATCTCCCCCGAGTGGGACTCGCTGCTCTCGCTGCAGTGGATCCCCAGCTTCCATCTGGTGGCTGTGTCCCCTTAGCTTCCTGTGCTAAAAAATGCAACTACGGAATCATTTTTAGCTTTATCCTACAGCTTTCAGCTTTGGCATTTTCTAGTTGTCCCTTCTTCCATAAGGCCTCTCATCATTGCAGTTTCCTTTGTTCTCCTGCAGCTTTGTGTTTCACTGTGATTGTATGATCTGAAAGTTTTGCTATGATGATGGCTCAGTTTACTTCAGAAGTGAGGGTGTTTTTCTGTCTTGAGTAGTTTAATCTGCACATGATTGATGTCTTATGAACCTGAGCTAATTCAAGGTGGTGCTTTTGCATTTCTTTCTGTTTGTTGTGTTTTAGTTATTATAACTAAATGCTGTGGAGTAAATCCCACTCCTTTGACAGGATATTTCCAACTGAAAGCTGAGATAACAATGAGGATATAGTAGAGTTTTGTACTAGGGATTTAAGGTATTTCCCAAAATCAAGTTAGTCTTTTCCCTGCTTTTCTATTTTCCTGGCACTCTACCAACGTCATCTCTATGCAGATCCTGGGAACATTTTTCATACTTGTTTTCGCATTTTTCAAGTTTCAGAAATGCTTCAGGTGAAGAACAGAACAGAAGAGTCTTTACTGATATATAAGAAACCATAATGTACCAAAGTTGCAGATGTTTCAACATATTGTGGCAAGTTTTCTAGTATACGGTATGCTGGTGTACTTAATGCCAGCTCTGATTTTAAATGATTGCCTTAAGATTCCAAAATATTCATGGCAAAGGTGTATTTGAGTTTAAGCTTTGTGTAATATACTGTGTTTATTTCCAAATTAATGTTCCAGGTAGACATCAAACTCTCGTGACCAAAGCTGTATTTCTGTAATTGATATTGTAACATACATGGTTCAAAAGGTTAAGGAGGTGATTCTTATTTCCAGTTATTGCTGTGTATTCTGATTTACTTTTGAAATGCAGTTATTCCAAACAGACAGTAGTTGAACCGTTCTGTGAATTGGAAAGGAGATGACATTTTGTCTGACATCATGGAGAATTCCTGTAAATAAAATTGAGGTGCTTTTTGCTGAAATAAGAGTCCTTCATTGGCTTAGAGTACCTGTATGTTGAATAGGTTAGGACTTAATTTACTTTAAGGGATGATGGAAGCATCAACATGGCTTTGAACGCAAAATTCTTCCTGGTATTTTAGACATAACTGTTGTTGTCAGTGATCTCTATCTTTCTTTACCTTTGTAATTTGAAAAAATGCATAAGACAGAGGACGTTCCTAAAAGGCATACTGTGTTAAAAGGGTTTTAAAAGTGACTTGTTTAATCCCATCTTTGATCAAACACAGCACAGTAGTAAACTCCAGACTTTGCTGGAGTGAATTTGTTATTTCTGCATTAAGATTCCCTTTTTTCATGTCTGTCCCAGGTGGCAAAGCTGGCAGCTGTTTCTTCTGGTCTGCCATTTGCATGTATTACTGTATATGCAGCAACAGAAAAGGAATCAAAAAGTCAGCTGGTGAAGCCAAGTCAGGTAGGAAACTTACTGTGTGTCAGTCTGTAAAATAATACTAGAATCTGCAGAATACCATCTCTTTCCATTGAATTCTATCACCCAGTCAATAAAATACATAGCGAAGTAGTATGTAATAGTAAAAACTAGCTCCTAAATAACTGACCACTATAGCACTAATAAAACATGAAGTGTTATGATAATAAGTTAGTAAAGTTTTATCTCATTCATTATTACATTATCTCCAGACTGAAGCCAGAAAAGGTAAGAGTATAATACTTACTGATAATAATAGTCTTTTTCTATTCTACAATTTCTAGTAATACATACCTGTATTTTCCAACTATTCTTGCTCGTGCTTTTTCTGAATAAAAGATATTTTTATCATGCCCAGTAATTCTACTTCTTAGAACCTATACAATACTTTCAGTTTTAATTTCTAAAGAATTAACCTGTGGTCACACTTGGGTAAAATAACTCTGTAACTACAAAAGAGCATAGTTTGAGGCAGAGGTTTTGTTTGCTGTAATGGGAGCATTAAGGATTTGCAGTCTTGAAAAACACTATTCAGTGTAAATACAGTATATAAAACTGTGTCCCTACAGTACAGTTATGCTTTTCTTTCCAGCTTCCAATTTACGGTCCACCACCTCTGAAATTGAAATACATAGAAGAACAGCCTGGTCGCTTGCAGAAGCAATTTTCTTCAGTAAGACAGACAACCGGCCGCTATATTGGATGGTGCAAGGTAAGAAATACCTGCACCCCAAGTTTCCTACAGTTCCTGACAGCACTTGACTAAAACATTGGAAAAACAGCATATTTCACCCTGGAGGGTTTTTTTGCAGTTCCTTGTATTAGCATATACCTATAATTTGAGATGCAAAATGAACCCTTCTCTCATTTTCTCTACTGTGCTTGTACGAGGGAGCCTGGGCATTCATCCCGTTTTCCAAATCAAAAGGCAGGGACATCAAAGAGGTCTGTTTCAGTCAATGCTAAACTGGATCTAGGCCAACCCACAGCATCAGGTTCAGAAATATCTCTTGGTTAACTTCTACAGCAGGAGTTACATAGGTAAATACTTGCTAGCAGAACTTGATAGCATTTAGGAGTCTGAAATTCCATGGAGAGAGAGTGAGCCGCTTCCAAAGGGCAGGCCAAAAGATGCAATTTAGGTACTTCAGGAAAGACAAACGGAGTGCATCCAGTATAACTATTAAAGCAGGCTGTTACTAACTAGTCATCAAAAATACCTCGCAACTCTGCTGTTGAATATTCTAAGGATAGAAGAAAACATGATGCCTGTCACCATTCTCTTAACTGCTGGTAAATGACAACTTTTTACTCTGGCTATTGTTGGTGTAAGAAATTCTATGCTTGTTTTTTTTTCCATTACAAACAAAATAGACCTTATTATTTGAAAGAGGCAAGGAAATCAAAATATTTTCCTGTATTTTCTGTAAATTTTGATTCCGTTCATTTGAATATTTTGTCAGTGACTGCATTACTAAAATAATTCAATTATAAATTTGTATCAAACTTTTCTGTGTCCTTAATCAAGTGTTTCAGAGATTGACTAGCAGTGACCTCTGGTGGTACAAATTCCGTGTTACTGCAAACAAATGGTTTCAGTGAAGTAACTCAAGTTGACATTCTCTGTCATTAATCACCTAAAAAATGTGTATTTACTCAATTTGCTTAGCAATCTGAGGACAGTGATACTAATAATAGGCTAGTAGAAGGTTTTTTTATGGATAAAGAAGAACTTGTAATTAAATAAATTTACCAATTTGAAGGGAGTAATGCAAACTAGTTGAGCACACATTTTAGACCAAATCAGTATTGCTTATCTTTAGCAAAACTGAGCACCGTTTTTACAAACTAAAAGACAAAGTCAGTTTTGCTGGGTAAGTCTCTCTAGAGAAGGGGAGAATGTATTTTATGATAGTATTTTCTTATTTTATACTTGATGTCCTGATGTTTTGCTACCCTATAATTTTGTTCCTGAGATGCCAATTTTGAAAGTCATCTTGCTATATTAAAGAGATTTTTTAAAATTAAATATGGATGGAAGTTTTAAAAATATAAATACGGTAGTCAGAAAGGGTATAGATCTCATCACAGCTTCTATAGAAGTTCACTGATCTGGTTTGATTTTTTTGAAGTTACATAAGATTTCTTTGCCTCATTGTGCTGAGCCATATGTATCAACTGAGTAGTTTTGTACTGAAAACATGTACTTTTGCAAAAATTCTACGTTTATTTTGTTTCTCTTTTCTTTTTTTTCCCCCCTAGGATGCTTTTGTCTTTGTTAAGAATGGAATAATGGATTCAATTCAGTTTGGAAAAGGTATGCAAGTGACATATTTTTTGAATTGAGCATTTTCTGTTGTTTCTCCTTGCAACTTAAAAAGATGGTTGAAACAGCAAATTCTAGTTGCAGGGGGGAGGATGGGGGAAAGGTGGAAGGGAGTGTACTGGAATACTTGCCACAGGTGTGGGGGGGAAAGAAATGGGACCACTCTTAATTCAGTATGGATTTTAATTTCTGTTCTCAAATGAGAGAAATGACCAAGTAAATAGTATTTTTAATTCATTTGATTTTAGCTTTGTTTTAAAAATCATAGTATTACAGAATCACTGAAGTTAGAATTTCTGTAGATCCATAGATCTCTCTGGATGAGACAGACTGCAGAGTATGCACCAGGAAAATAAGGCATCTTCATTCATTAACAAAAAATCCAGTCTTGGACTGTTTTCAGTTTGGAATATTCATAATTTTATTTCCATCTTTATTTTCTTCAGTGGGAAATAAAATAAAATGATTAATATTGAATTGCTATGTTGCTTTTTTTTTTTTTTTTTTTTTTTATTATTCTAAGATGCTTATGTTTACCTGAAGAATCCACCTCCAGAATTTCTTCCCAAAGTTGGTGTAATTACAATATCAGGCTTAGCTGGCATAGTGCTGGCAAGAAAAGGTAGGTTTTTTTGCTTATTTTCATTATTGGTGTGTTGAACACGTAGCAATTTTAATGGTCAAAAGATTTTTCTGAAATATAGGCAAAACCTATGTAACTAGTATTAAAAAAAAAAAAAAAATCCTTCCTGATAAATTGAAGGGACATAATTAAATATTTTTTTTAGAAGCTGGCTAAGTCCAAATAGACAGAGCAAATTATATAGTCATTTTTAATGGTGGAATCGACAGAAATTCAAAGCAGGACACTAGTTTTGAGTTTGTTCGTTACTGGTTTTCAAAAACAGTGTATATATGAGAGGAAATTAGAGACAAATTAACAGCTAAGGTTACTGAATATAGTGAAACCAAAGGGAATTTAGAGGAAAGAAGCTAAAGAATGTTGGTGTTTGGCTAGCAGGTACAAGAGAATACCCAGTGGAAGGGATGGTTTCAGCAGCTTTGAAGCTGAAAGGGTAATGTAGTACAGACAGCCACCTCTCCTTTCAAGATAAATATTTGAGGAGTAGTACTTAACCTGCCAGAAAATATTGTTCACAAAATGTTCATCTGTAACACCCGAGTGTGTGTCTAGCTGAATATTTCACAAAGCAAATGGATTAATGAGAATATTGGATATTAGTAAACACGTTCTTCTTGTATCCCTGTTACTTTTTTGGTGGACAGATTTAAAAAAAAAAAAAAGGGGTTTGAGAATCTGCCAGCAGGGTTCCTTGTCAACAAACAGGAACCTGAGCCTGGCCCAGCCATTCTCGCGTTTGAACAAAGAGGCCCCAGTTTCCAGGCTCCCGGCTGCTCCGAATGCTGCAATCTGTGTCCTCAAGGGAGTGTGCGTGGGACTAGTGAAGAACCACAGCATCTCTGAAGTGACACAGACATTCTCATTTTCCACAATATTGGGAAATCTAATTTGGGGTTATTTATGTACAGAATATCAGTATCTCCTGCACTAAACTATAATCACACCCTGTGTTCTCTCCTTCAGCTGTTATGGGGGTATGTTTGATGGAAGTAATGGTTAGGGGTTAAACAGCTGCTTTTAATCAATACAACTGCCTAGCTTTACATTTCATTAGTGTCTAATTATTTGAAATATTTGGCTTTATACAGATTCTAGATTTAAGAAAATTGCTTATCCTTTGGGACTTACTACTTTAGGAATTTCTGTTTGTTACCCAGCTCAGTCAGTGGTAATTGCCAAGGTAAGTTTACTTGTTTTTTAATATTGAAATAACAGTGAATTTAGTCATAGCATTCTCATTTCACCTGAACTAAGCATCATGGGACTAGAAGTCAGAATTCCCATGCATCTTCATTAAAACATGTAATGCATCATGTGTTAATTGCATAACTATAAAAAAATAATAAAATAATTGAATTCAAAAATGCAGCCTCTCAATTTTTTATCATAATTTCTCAAATAAATGAAGATTATTTTATCTTGCTCAAATAAAAATAAATAAAAACCAAAGCTTTGCCGGTCTTGATAGGTACAGAATTTGAGATACTGTACAATTGCATCTCTTCTTAGAATTCCTTGTTTTCCAATTACTGTCATCGTGCAGTTTTCTGCCTGATTAGAATATGTCTTAGCTGTTCATGTAGAAAAGCAGAACTATACTTAATAACTTGTATGCAAGAATTGTTTGCACATTTTCTACCCAAAAAATGAATTGAAAAGCAGGATAAAACGTCTATATATGTCTTCCTCCCCCATAGCTTTCCAGTGTTTCCCTTTTTAGAAAAGCACATATTGCTCCATAATAATCCTTGGTAGTTCCTTTATGAACTTCGTATTTATAGTTTTAAAACTGCACTTCTGTATTAAATTGATGAGATCGGAAAATTTAGTTTAGTTAGTTGTGTTTGGTTCTAGGATTTACGAATCTTTTAGTTAAAAGCTCAGATTTAAGTTTTGACAGAACGATTTGTGGAATATTATCCTGAAATCTGATTGGAAAAACTACTGTTGAATTTCTAACTTTCTATCATGATGAATCAGTTGTTACTGTTATTAATTTTAGTGGGGTGGTTTTATTTGGTATTTCTATACTTCCAGAGTACTCAGGAAGATACTGCAAAGACCTTTACTGTCGTTAAAATCTTTGGGCAACCTTATATTGCTAAACTGTTGGTTTTTTCTTGTATGCAAATCAATGAGGGCTATGGTTTCTCAAGAGGAAGTGGGATTTCTTGGCTTGCTGTCATAAGACTTAAATGTCAGGGTTGGAAGGTGGAGAAATTAATAGGAAAGCTACACTGTATGTTATGACTTATCTCCGAAAGCTAAAGCTGTGTTTCCTATCTACTTACATTATGTATCACTTTTTGCACAGTTTTTGTAGTTGCGTCAGTGAAATATTCTGTTTCTATAGAGCACTTATAAAGGTACTCCATAGTTACTGGATTATTATAAAATTACTTTTACAATATAAAAATATATTGTAAAATTACATTATAAAAAAAGAGACTGAAGGATTTGGCCATTTGTAAAGCAAGGCACTGCTCACTAACATGGGCCAGGTCATCTTTTGGGGCTTTTTCCTTTTGTGTTACCGTCCTTGATCATTTCCAACCCAGTGAGACAAGTTTGGATCTTTTAAAACTGCTGCTCCAGGCTATTGTCCTAATGTTGCTGAAACACTGTTTGCTGATAAGGTTTTGATTTTGAGTAGGCAGATGCAGCATGTGAATGCTACCTGTGGATTTCTAATACCTGTTTAAACACTATTTAGGATTTGCTTGATGTGAGAGAAATATGCACTGGATCTTGAAAAGAGATGATTAAAATGTCTTACTATGGGGTCAAGCATGTTCTCATGCAAATAAGATGCATTTCATATGAATGGTCTGTATATCTTAGTATTTTTAAAGCTGTTGTTAATTTTTTTTTTTTCTAAAAAAATAGGTAACAGGGAAAAAGTTATTTTCTGCAAGCCATCAAACCTATGAAGCTGTGCGATCACTATGGGCAAAAAAGGAAGATGTCACCAAGGTAGGCTTTCTGAAGGCATGACTGCAACTCGTAAATTCAAAGGGAGTGTAGAAGTAAATTAGAAGATCAAGTACTATGCTGCTGATACTGTTTAAGATCACTAATTGCAATAAGTGAGGCACAAAAACTTCTCTGGTATTTTTGTAACTTCAGTGTTTAATTGATGTCATATTTGTTACACATTTTAGACAAGTAGACAGTGAGATCCCCTACATAGTCCCACAATACATGTAAGATGCACAAGAGAAGACTGAGCTTCTATTGCAGCTCATTTCTGATCTTGAAAAAAATAATCCATTCTGATTCAAGTTTTGGTCTTAAGCAGACCACTGAAGTTAAGATACAGGCACGCAGAAATACAGTAGATTATTTTTAAACATATCAGTGAAGGAAATTTCACAACCCTTCCAGTTAGTGTGTTTTAATTATCCTGTGATAGAAATTGTCCATGTCTGATTTTTCTTTTTTCTTGTCTGTCCTCATTGCAGCCATAGTGAGTAAATGGTCAGTAACCTCTTTATATTGACCCATGACATATGGAAAATTTATCATGGCTTTTGACATTATCTTCTCCCAGTATCACCTTTCTCATAGAGCAGGCTTTCTAATTTGTACGTAATTCTTCTTCTCCTCTGAGCTTTCTCTAGTTTCTCTTTCCTTTATCTGATTTTAGGGGTTTTTGTGTGTGGTTTGTGTTGTTTGTTTGGTTTTGTTTTTTTAAATGAAGTGGTTAAGATAGGACATAGTAAACGAGCTGCGGCCTTGCCAGCACAAAGTAGAGAGAAATATTAACCTCCTGTAAATTACATATGGAATTTGGGTTAGTACATCCCATAATTAAACATATTTTTTTCTGCAACCTGAAAGGGTTTTTCTCCAATGGAAATTCATAAGCCCTTGACAAAAGTAGTACTTTGCTGTGTGCAGTGATATTTTTTGCCTTTTTTTTGTAAAAAAAATTGAAGTTTCTCAGTTAACATTTATAAGTGTTTTGCTTTAAATTTACAGTGTTCATTTGTATGCAGTCCTCACCTTTTATTTCCACTGAGGAGCACAAGTGGAATTCTGAGTTTTGAAAATGAGATTCAGATAAATGTCATTACACTGATAGCAAAACAAGAATTTATGCAGTAAAGACAGTTTCTATTAACTTTATTTTTTCCCTGAGTGAAGCCTGTTCCCAAACCAGTATACTGTTTTTCATTACTAGGTTGTTACCATGATTTATCTTTCCATCTTCTGTTAACTAAGGGTAGTAAGTGTTCTGTAAAATATAAATGCAATTTCAGTCTTGTGTGAGACTACAGGTTCCTCATATGTAAATGAACAGTGACTTCCTTGTGAAGTACTTTGAGGGTCTCAGACAAAAGCACAGTATCAGACTTAAGTATATACTCATGACAAAGTAAGTTTCCTTACATGTGAATTTGAAGTTCTGGTATCTGAACTGTGGGGCTCTTCCATGCATTTTATTTTTTCCAGCTGTGTCCCTTGAGTGCAGCTGCCTTTAACGTTTCTAGCTGAATATCATTGTATGATGTCATATCTGAAAATAATTTAATAGAAGATAAGCTTTAAAGTCTGGAAGCTTTATTTTGCAATAATGGATTAAGCGTATATGTGCATTTTTTTTATTAATGTTTGGTTCACAGCTGCAGCAAGAGTCAAAACCAGTTACGCAAGAAGATAAGAAAAAGAAAGAAATTTCTGGTACAAAACCTGAGTCTGCTATTGAGTCGAAATCATTTAACAGAAGAGAATCTTCTCCGGTAGAGTCTTGGAGTAATAGAGACCTAGTGCCTTCATCAGGTGAATTAAACATTTCAAATGCAATCTTGGGGCAATTGGCAAATCCAATTACTTGACTTAATTTTGTAGTTAGCCTTGCTTTAAAATGGAGCAGACTGTCATAGCATATTATTCTTTAGAATATATTGTACACGCTGTCATTTGATACATACTTCAGAGCCTCAGGGAGGTGATAATTTTCTCACGGTGGACCCTGGTCACAGCATCAGAATTCTTACATATGTGTTGTCGTCTCTCAGTAATGTTTTCTTTCACTCCATGTGGTGTGGACCATATCCTGTATTGTTAGCAGTGAGATGATATCATCAAGTACTTCTGTTAAATACTTACTTTAAATTATCTTTCTGTTGTCAGAATACCATAAATGTAATTTAAAGGATTACTGCTGGATTTTTGTGAAAACAGCTAATTTGAATTACTGTTCATTTCTCTGTATGGGTTCTATGTCTTCAGATATTGGTAAAAGAGGAATGCGTAATTGACTGAAGCATTAGATTTTATTTTGCTAGGTTATTTGCAGTGATGTTCTTTATTTTATCTTAAGTAGTTGAGATAATCAACTAGATCATGTAGCAACATATTTATCATACAAATAATTTGATAGTCCAGTTGCTAAGAGTAATAGTGGAATTACATATTAAAGGAGAACTAAATTTGTTTTAAAATATTATTAGCTTTTGTAGGGGCAGTTTCTGAATTTTGCTTGTCACTTAAACTTGCTTATTTCTTTTTATTGTGTTCTTTACCAGAACATTTTTTTTTCTGGAAAGCAAACAGAACATATTTGGATGGAGTTTCTACTCTTTTTTTTTTCTTTTTTTCCTTTATTTTCACTATAATACACATTCACATCTTTCTTTGCTTTGCACCTGTGTTTTTTTCTGATTTAGTTTGTGGAATGCTTTGATCTGCTTTTACATTCACTTCAGGCCAGACTGTCTTTAATGGCTTTATGTATATAGATATTTTCTGTTTTGCTTTCATGAGTGTAATTAGTTCACATCCCTAGTACAGCCAAAAGTGTCTATGCCCTAAATTAATCTGTGTTGTCAGAGACATTTATTTTCACTAGTCCAAATGGGGCAAAGCTTTCAGGAGAACATAGCACCCTTTGTTAAACCAACTGATGTAACTAGAAAAGAAGCAGACTAGTAGTAGGAGGCACAGCCCTAGAAAACCTGCCTTTTATATTCTCTTACATCCTCTGGAATTACAGCAGCATTAAATATATCAGTCTTTATGCATTATCATTCAGGATGAGTTTGAGGGCTCAACATTTTAGTAAACTTAGTTCACTGTTTTTGGAAGTCATGAAGCGAAACTAGGTAAGAGTGTTTGTCTTAATTTGGAATTCTTACCATCTGGCAGCAGCTTCAGGGAAGATACTGATTCAGTTGGTTTTGGAGGACAGCAGTGCTCCTGGGCGCAGTGGGGGAAGAAAGACTGGAGATTTCTTTTCCATGTTCCAAACTTTCCCTTCTTTTCCATGAGTAGAGCAAAGCAACACTATTTCTTCTCTCACCCTGCTGTGCTCAGGAAGTAGCATTCAGGTATAAAGGATAGAAGGAAGACCTGCTCTCCACCCACTGCTGTATGCTCATAATTACAATATGCCTTCATCATCCTGTATCAGTCACTTTACAGATGTTCTAGTTAAAACTGTGGGGTTTTGATCTTTTGTGTTTGGCAATACAGTAATTCTCAAAATGTGTCAATAAGCTTTTTTCCCTACCACTCAAATGTATATGTACTTTTAAATTAAATTTCTTTATCTCTAACAGGAACAGTGAAGACACCAAAATTTAAGCCTGATCCAAAACTTGTGGACCATGGTCAGTCCAGCCCAGAAGATGTGGATATGTACAGTACTAGAAGCTAAGACAAATCTGCTTACAAATCTTTGCAAAGCATTGCAGACAAGGGGGAGGGAAGATGGGAAGGAATAACTCTTACAATACATACTCTGTGAGGTATAAATTAATCAGGTATTTTCTTATTGCCCAGTTTGTATTATTGACTTATGTGATTAGCGAGTATTTTGTTTCTCACTACTTAGAAGCAGTGAAAATTCACTCGTCGTCAGTGTCATTAGTGAGACACTGAGAAAATGAGATTTCTCAGTGTCTTCTCACAATGAGGTTTCTCTGTGCCAAGCTTGTTAATAAATGTTACTTCACAAAGTATATTTGAAAATGTAAACATAACTCTGTACTCCAGCTCAGATGTTCATTGCTCTCAAAGAAGAAAGTGATGTTGGGGTTTGCAGAGGCTTCTTTGTCTTTTTTTTTTTCTTTCAGCTCTGGAATGAAGCGCAACTTCTTATTGGTCTGAGTACCCTTAAAAAGCCAGTTGTTATATCGTACAAGTAGCATCAATGCTTGTATAAACAAATTTTTTTTTTTTTTTCATTGCAAAGTCATTTGCTGTTACTTACCTCTTTCACAAAGGTGAATGGAAACAAATTCTTGTCCTGCATGCTTCTTGGGTGTTTAAATGTCACTTACATTAGAAAAAAACACAAAACTAATCTCTAAAACATCCTTTATAAACTATGCATTAGTTTTCACCTAATACTTTGAAGAACTGTATGCAAATTGCTTAATCCATGAAACTGATACTGTTTAAATTTATATAGAAAGCATTAGCAGTGTTTAGGAAGTTGGAAACCTTCTGTAATTGAGAGGTTTCAAGTGCTGACAAGTAATAGGCAGCCAGCTTTTTTTTCCAGAAGTTTGTATGCAATACTCATTGATCTTCATAGGATTTCTGTGGAATTCTGTATTTTTCCATAAGAATTAAATTAGAAATTGATGGAGTTTCCTAGGATGAAACTTTCAAACACCACTTCTATCATTGTGTATATCTCTCTACTTCTGTTCATCCTCCATTTCTCTTCAAAACACTTACAAGGGTTGGAATAGATCTGGTGGTCTTCCTTGAACAAAGTGCAACTCATTATTAGTACACAGTGATAATCAGCCTGCTGCCTAGGGGTGATCTCATCTGTATCTGCTGTAGCACTTTCCTAATATAAACTGCAAAAGGACTCTGTGCTGGTAGATTGTCTTTCAATCTGTTGCATTCTGTTATCTTTTAATTAATGAAAAAATATGCTTTGTTGTAAAGTTGCGGAGGGGAAGCAAGAATAAATTATACAAGCAGGTAGTTTGGTTGGAAGACTTAAACCTGAAAAGAAATGCTGCTTCATATGAATGTATTCTCAGTACTGGGATATGAAGGGATATTTGCTCCTGCTTTCCATAAGAAGAGATTTCGCAATCTGATTCCTTCTATGGCTGCTAATGGAAAGGCAAATGGCTAGTGAAGTACAGGCAAATGGAGTTCCTAGTGTCACTGTGGGACTAGCAGAAGCTGTGAGGAGATACTGCACAGTGGAATGTGTACAAGGCATAAATGATGAATGAGCAAAAGAATAAGTAAGGCTTTTATGATGGTTCAGAAACGGTATTTTAGAATCCAAATTTCAAGCAAAGCGTTGGACCTTGTTATAGACAGTCAAGCGTAAGTTCAAGTCAGTAAATACGAAGTATAAAGATGAATAATTCTTAGTTTAAGTCAGCTGTCCCAAGCAAGTTTAAATTTAATGTGTTTTGTTTCTTTAATCATCTCTTAAGGCCCAAGAAACTGTCAGAATTCAGGCAGCAATCAGAGGATATTTAGTCAATCTTCACAGAGCTCCTGGACAAGACACATTTAGTGTTCCATCACAGAGAGAGGAGTAGAAAAATTAGATGGCTGGGCTTCATACACCATTTCCAGGGAAACAGATGAAGACAGGCAGGAAGTGAAAATGGTGAAGAAATGATCATTTTCAAGTGCAAGACGGGATGGCAGACATTGTATTATTTGTCTCCCTTTGATCAGATTGTGGATAAAAAACATAAAGGAAAAACCATCTGCTCTACTCCTAAATTCTATTTAAAAGCTAAGTTATGTCCTTTGAGTGATACACTAGCACAACAAGTCAACAAGAAAGGTAAGATGATGCAGGTTTGTATGGATTTTGTAGGGGTTTACTGTGGTGACGTTTTTGGTACATAGTGGAAAACTATGCATGGGAATTAGTCTTCTGGGAGCAGGGAGAGAAGCTACCTTGTGTAGCTGTTAAGGGACAAGCATGTCTGCCCTTCCCAGGCAAGAGTAGGCCTTAAAATTGACTGCCCTCTACTTGCACTGCCAAAAGCTAGTCTGGTCCTTTCCATACGTTAAGGGCATCACCACTCAAACCTATGATACAATGGAATGGTCTGCAAAAGGTACATTGTACTCCTGGGTGGTTGAGCAGGCAAAAATTAGATGCTTCTGCAAGTAGTTTGTATTTCAGCCCCTGATTTTACAATAAGTTCATGCTGTAAATGGACATGATGCACAAAGCTGTCCTTGGGTTGTCTTTCAGTCTCGTATTATTCCTTAGGGCAAAATTTTAATAGAACTGTACCTCAGAGTTAAATCATCATTCCTAAGTCTTAGATATGTTTTCTGGGACATAACTTAAAATTATTGCTCCTACCCACTTTGATGAATGAACGGTGTGAGGGATACAATTCTAAGGCTCATAATGGTGTCCCTGTGCTGTGTCATTTCCTCTTGGTAGATGAGAGGAGTGAGCCCACACAGGTTCATTCCAGTACAAGGTTTGCCTACTGCTGTCACTTTTTAGTTTAGTTTTTTCATCAGTTGAGATTTCTCTTCATCATTCTTTACAAGACAAGGTAATTTGTTTTTTGTTTTCTATCAATGTGTTTTGTTTAATATCCCCACACAGTTGAAAAGTTGTGACTAAAATTAGAGACTTGGGTTTTGGCACTGAAACAGATATAGCTATAGACAACTGTTTCCCTATGTGCAGCCAAAGAAAATGGGACGAAAAAAGTATGAAAAGTTTTGTATCCTGTCTGGGGTGTGTTTTCTGCTTTCAGAAATACCATAATCAATCTCTCAGTTGGTATTTCTCTGTCCTGGAGTACAGATTTATTAGTAGTGGGAAGGAATTTTTTAGTAAAACCTAGAATTTGATATATTATAATAGTTCTTTGCTAACATCAATTTCTATTAGTCAGTCATCGTCCATCCATGTGAGACACGTCATGAGAGAAATTTCTAGAAGTAGCAGAAAAGATGCAGGTTATTACAGTGAAGTTTGGAATGTATTTGCTGAAATGAAGGCAGCCCAAATCAGATTACTAATCTGTTCTTGTACAAATAGTGGAATGGTGACTGGGAGTCTTTATTACTCAGCAGGCATTTTGTGAAGTGTTTCTTTGTCAAATCTAAAAAGCTGCCTGCCCTCTTCAGTTCAGATATCTGAGCCTCCACGTTTGATAGAATACTCTGCAGATGGTTTATTCCAAATAACTACAAGGAATTGTATCCACATCTCTGTATTAATAATTTGTAGTTAAGGTGCTATGCAGTGGCGTTGAAAAGGCAAATTCAAATCTACACTATGCCATGCTTGTGAGTCTTCATTTTAAATATATGTGCCTGACTTGATCTCCTTAAGATTTCAGATCCAGTATACAAACCTGTTAAACAATGAAAAATTAACAGAAGTACACAGGAAAAGTTGCACTGCAAGACATGGTTTTATTAATTTATAGTAGAACACTTTGAAATGCCTGTCAAATGAATCATTAATAGTCATTTAAAGTTTCTTTCATAATGCAATAATACAGTAACATAATAAAACTAAGAATGTATTCTGTAATTTTTATGTTATATAAGTTATATATTTGTGAAAAATTCAATCTCTTAAAGAACTGGGTCACACAATGATATTTTATAATATAGAAATAGTTTTAATGCATGTTTTTTATGATTGATGGTATTTGATATATAGATTTGGAACTTGATGATATTAATTTTTTATTTGCGTAAAAATTATTGTGATACTTTTTGACATATTGTGAAGCACCTGAAAAATAAACGGTGATAAGATACTTTTTAAAAACTAATTTTAACTTTTGTATGTTGTCTCATCTCTAGGGCAAATTGTCACTTTGTCAATTCCTTTTCCTAAAGTACATTTTAAAAGTTAATTGGTAAACATAAGTCACTCCTGTTTCACTAATATTGGGGCAAAAACTTTACCTCCAAAATACTGAAACGTATGTTCCTGGAAGAAAACACTGAAGTAGTAGGCAGGACATATTAGTGCTCAGCATTCAGTTGTTTGTGTCTTGAATTTTGAGAGGTGCTTCCATTTTCTTTTCCTGCTAGTTTCTTCTAAAGAACACTGTAGCTCAGAACTTGGAAAAAAGGCGGCTTTTATCCATACTGGAGGAATGACATATATTTTTAAAAGAATGAGGCAGGTAGCACATATATTTACCTCAGCATGGCTCCATAATAATCTTCCAGGTAAAGTAATTTGCCAAGCCAAGGGTCATAAATAGTGTAATACATGGTGTAACCTACAGGGTAGCTACTTAAAAGAAGAAAAATTGTGTGAATAAGTAATGTGGCTATTTTAATGGCAGATTATCATTATGATTCTTGAATAGCTTAGGAAATATTGTAAAGATTTTTTTAATGCATCAGTATAAGTATCTTGTAGTGAAAGTTCAAAGTATTTCTGAATCTCATTCACCTACAGAAAATGTATTTTAATTTAAAAAGAAAGTGAAAATGTATTTTAATCTAAACAGAAAGTGGGGTCCTACAAAGCCTATATTCTTTAAAAAAGAGCACTAGTATGCACTAGGTTGTGTGTATTTGAAATAGAAACACACACTAGGTTGTGTGTTTTTATTTGAAATTGCAGGGATTCTAAGATCCAAAGCTCAGTTATGTGCTTATGGTAAGCTACGGTCAAGAAAGTCTGTACTTGAAACCATTCTGGACGTTATATTATTTGTATTACCACAGTATTGATGCGTTGTTCTTGTAGACCGGAGCAAGTATGCAAACCAAAGTGAAATGCTAAGGAGAAGGAAATCTAAAAGTTGGAAAATCTTGTTGTTAACACTATTTTTTTTTATTTGAAGAAATGTCTTTATGTTTTAAAGTCTAATGACCAAATCTATTTTGTGTTGCAAAAAATGAATATATCAGTACATACTAACAAGTTGTAGAAGGAGGAAAGAAAGGAGAGGGGAATGAAAGAAAGGAGAGGAAAATGAAAGTTTCATCACTGACTCAAAAGTGGTGAAGGGGATGTGTGTT